AGGAACCGGGACCACCCAGGGGGGCTCGTCCCCCAACCCCCCCCTCCCCCCCCCCCTTACCCAGCAGCAGCAGCCTTAAGCCTCCCTTCGATGTCTTGTTGCTTCCTCTCGTCTCTTCTTCCGCCTTGGCCCGCTGACGTCACAAGGGCGGCCTCCTCGCATCAGGGTCACGCGGGGAGGAGGGAGTCAATCGGCGGAGGGAAGGCTCCCCTCGGGGGCGGCTGCGGTGAAGGGCCATAGAAACAGAGGAGGAGAGAGAGGCCGCACGCCTCTCTCCGCAACTTCCGGTCTGAAGGAGCCGGAGGAAGTCGGAGTCCAGGGGCACCTTGGAGACCAGCCAAGTTGGGATAAACCTTGGTCCACCTCAACAGGTCGACCAGGTGTTTGAACCTGGCTCTCCCTCGCCCCCTTCGATGTCTTGTTGCTTCCTCTCGTCTCTTCTTCCGCCTTGGCCCGCTGACGTCACAAGGGCGGCCTCCTCGCATCAGGGTCACGCGGGGAGGAGGGAGTCAATCGGCGGAGGGAAGGCTCCCCTCGGGGGCGGCTGCGGAGAAGGGCCATAGAAACAGAGGAGGAGGGAGAGAGAGGCCGCACGCTTCTCTCCGCAGCTTCCGGTCTGAAGGAAGTCGGAGTCCAGACCAGCCAAGTTGGAATAAACCTTGGTCCACCTCAACAGGTCGACCAGGTGTTTGAACCTGGCTCTCCCTCGCCTAGTACTCCGATGGTTGCATCCCTTTCCCCGCTTTCTGTGAACAGGTCTGGAAAAGGTTCTCGCGTGCTCGGGGAGCTACCCTTGTACAACAAAGGAGAGCAGAGAGTAGATTTTTGAAAGCCTTGGCTCGTCTGGGCTTCTGTGCCAGAGTTCCCTCTAAGCTGAGTTAGTGTGAGCTAGCTCGCAGTTTTCCAGCTTCCAGCTCACACATTCTTGTCTTAGCTCAAGAAAGGCGGCCCCAGAGCAAACTAATCTATGCTGCAGCCAAATGACTCGCTCACAACTTTAATGCCAGGAGCTCACAAAGTAGAATTTTTGCTCACAAGACTTCACAGTTTAGAGGGAACATTGCTTCTGTCTGCTTTTCTTGAGGGTGTTCAAAGCGCCGGCCGCACCCTGTTGTAGTTATTACTGTAATGGCTTATTTAGCGTTATATCCCGCTTTCCACATGTTGTGTGCATAACATCAAAGGGCTGTACCGCCCTGAAACTCCAGGCACTGGATTCACTGTGTTCCGGCCTAAAGTTCAGCTTTAATCATTTGTAATAGAAAGCTTGCCCTCCCATGGCCGATTCTTTAAAAGGAGGGCGTGGCCATAGAGATGGCCTGGGATAGAGCGGCACCACAGCTCGCACATGGGGAACCGTAGCCAATGGCGACAGTCCGTTGATAGCGGAAGTGCAGGCTCTGCGTCACTGGCCTTTAGCCTCCCTATGGGGCTGCTTGAAAAATAAACGGGGAGCGTCAGTTGCTGGAGCCCCTAGACGCAAGGAAGTAGCTGCGACTGCGGGGAAAGAATTGCTACTATTTTATTAATAGTGCGGTGAGCCACTGTGATGTCGTAGTTGAAACGTCAGACTATAAGACGGCTCAACTCACTCAGCCATGAAACTCGCTCCTTAAGAGAAAGTGGTGGATAAAAACGGGAGCAGCTCATAGCGGCTTCAGGTCTTACGTAGCCAGCAGAAAATGTAGCCAACAGCCCGTTTCCTTAAGGCAACGAAGATTAGGGCCCATTTCGAGGCGATTCCTAGCGGACCCCGCGCTCTGCCATCAGGATTGTACAGCGTCATACCCTTCTGAAGCCACTCTCCTTCCCAAATCCTGCCCATTCCAAGCCCCTCCCCCAAATCTCCAGGAATTTCCCAAACTGGAGCTGGCAACCCATCCAAAGCATCCCAAGTTACCTGCCCAATCTCTTGGGTGCCTTAAGGTACCACTAGGGATGTTGGCTATTATCCCCACCCCACCCACCCCCACTGGTATATCTGTGAGAAAGCATGTAAATAGGTGTCAGACAGCATGACTGGGATCTCAAAGAGTCCGACTGAACAAGAAGACAGCATGAAAATCTTTGCAAATGGAAGCCTTAGTTGGAAGGTGTCAACAACATCCATTAAAATTAAGCCTTTAGAAAAAATGGCCAAAGTCAGAAAACACAGAACGCTTTAGACCTCTGCACACTGGAATCATTCTCAAGCAACTAAAGCAGGAGCCTCAGAGTAAATTAAACTAATGTTGTCTTAAGTTTTCTCTTCCCCCTCCCCATATATATCTTTTCAGATGGGGAACGGTAACCCAAGGAATCTGGGTTTAGCTTAAGTCAGTGAGCTATGACTTCCTATGGAAACAGATGACTAATGTCACAGGGTTGTTGCGAGGAAGAGAGATGAAAGTTGCTCATGCAATTTTGATTTCCCTCTTTCTTGCCTTCAAAACAAGTTTATCAGAAGTAGAACAGGCCAGCTACCCCAACCATGTCTGACAATAGTCAACAGCAGGTACAAAGGTAGGGAAATGAGTCAACCTCCCCCATTACAGTTCCTTAAAGTACAAAGCATGAGTGCATCTTTTCAATGGGACATAAAAAAGAGATTGGATTTATACCCCGCCCTTCACAACCCAAAGGAGTCTCCGAGCAGCTTACAATCTCCTTTCCCTTCCCCTCCCCACAACAGACATCCTGTAGGTGGGGCTGAGAGAGCTCTGACAGAAACTGCTATTTTTCAAGAACAGCTGTGCCAGAACTATGGCGTGCCCAAGGTCATCCAGCAGGTGCAAGTGGAGGAGTGGGGAATCAAACCCAGTTCTCCCAGATTAGAGGCGGCACACTTAACCACTACACCAGAGGTAGGAGAAATAACTGGAAGAACAAAAGTGGTGTGTATGCAAACAGAACAGATAAAGCAGGCTCCCTTGTGAAAGGTCAAGCCAGAGTGAGACACCTTGGAAATTATAACTTGCAGCATCTAGAGGCCTCTTTAGAGCCAAATAGAACTGAGCACACATTAGTCCCGAACAACACCTAAGCAGTAAAGCCCATGCATGAGATTCAGGGAGTTTAAACCCAAAGCAGCCCATACAATCCATACTGGAAGTTTAATGTGTTAAGATGCAGAGACATAGCTGCATAAAAGAATTCTTTCTGAAGGACTTACAGCCATCAGAATTGTGCTACCTACCACAAAACCTGGTAATGGTGTCCAGATTCCAGAGGATTGTGGTTTTTTACTCTATAAACAATGAAAGTCAGCCTGATGTAGTGGTTAGACTAGCATTTGGGAGACCCAGGTTCAAATTCCTACTCTGCCACAGAAGCTCACTGGGTGACATTGGGCCACTCAGCTCGCACTGTCAGTCACCCGAATGTTACAGTGTTGTGAGGATAAAATGTAAGCTGCTTTGTGTCTTCAGTGGGGAGAAAACCAGGATAATTTTAAAAAAATCAAATTTTCACTGCACTGTTTTTTCCTTTCTTGCTGCATAAACTTGCAAAACAAAGCTCATCCTCTCATCTAGCATGTTCCTAACATCTAAAGTAATTCACGTGATTGCAACAGTGCATCTACGTAGCTTAGCATCGACAGCGATCTGCAGGGCAGCATTAGTCACACATGAAAAAATGCAACTTCCCAAAGAGGAAATCCATGCAAGAGGAGGAGAGACAGCAAGGCAAGACTTAATAGGCTGAGGAGGGGATCAGCTTGTTAGGTCCCATAGTAAAGACAATCATCAAATGGGGAGCTCCTCAGAGAGCAAAGGGTGTAGGTAAATGTGGTCAAACGTGCGCACACACGAGTTTCCCTAGCAGCTGTAATGGCTGCCTGTGACTTAGCAGACAGTGGGGGCAGAAGGGGCAGTAGGAACTGTGTCCAAAGGATCAAGGGTATCAGCATTAAGCAGCCAAGATCAGGAGCATCTGCAGGCAGTCAGGCAAAAACACAGAATATGAGGAAAGGGCGGAAACCTGCAGAGCTATTCCCCCCCCCCCCCAACCTAGAACACGAACAGGCCTGTTTGGTTCACAAGTAAGATGTGAAGCCTGTCTCTTCAGGGACCAACCGACCACCCTGGCCACAAAAGCATTGGTCTCATCAGCCTTTCCTAACTGACCACAGCTGCTGCTCCTTCCCTACCTGGCTCTGTCCTACAACCTAAAATGTATTTCTAGTAAGGAAACGTGAGAACAAGAAGCAGCGATTGGATTTATACCCAGCCCTTCACTACCCAAAGGAGTCTCAGAGCAGTTTATAATCCCTTCCCCTCCCCACAACAGACATCCTATGAGGTAGGTGGGGCTGAGAGAGCTCTCTCGAGAACTGCCCTTGAGAGAACAGTGGCTAAAGTTGGAAAGAAACACTCCTGCAGGGAGTCAAGAGCTTCTATTCAGGTATTCGAAGTAACTACCTGTCATTCCCGTATGAACAACTGAACAGAGGGTCCTTTTCAAATGCAGATTCCTTTATGCTCTTACACCGAAAGCCACAACATTGTGAACTCAGAGGAAAGAGGAGTAGCCAGGCTGCAGGCAGAAATCTACCACTGGCCGGAAAATCCTCCTGTGGAAGCATGACCAAAATGCAGTCAGGACGTTGGATCACGCAGATACAGAAGACTAAGTGGCTTCAAGAAAGCCAGTCTCTGGTCTGCATGTGTAGAATCAGGGTGAAAAATCACAGCTCCGGTGCAACCAAAGTAACAGCAAGCCACTCTGAACACAAGGGAAAAATCTGTGCAGACTTTGCTGGGTAGTTCCTGCTTTCTGCATCTTTCAACACTCCCTCTGTGACTACAGAAAGAACAGAACCCTCTCTGCAGTTTTGGAGTTGTACCTACCCTGAATGAAGCAGCCTTCAACCTCTAGGTCCCCCCCCCCCCAAGGTCTTTGTTTCTATGGCTTGCACACATGCCTCCTACTCACTCTTCCAGGGTTAAGGACAACAGATCCACTCCAGTTTCACCTTGAGTGTTAAGAAACACACAAAGCCCATGTTGTAGATTAGGAGATGAGAAGATCCGCCCTCCCCCCCCAACCAGGGCAGAAGGATGCAGAAAACAAGAGGAGACGAGGGCTGAATTTGAGTGCGCTTAACATTCCCCTTTAATAACCCAACACACTAGAAGTACAGTGGCTTTATTTGGCCAGGGCCTCGCAGACGTCACTGGAGAGGCAGCGAGTTTGTTGCTGGGCAGGCCCTGGTGGACACGGCACTGCCCCAGTTAACATCTTTTATTACTACTATTATTAGCACTGGTTGGTTTGGTTGGTGGTTTTTTTTTATTGTTTTTTTCCTTAAAAACCAGACACACAAGTGAGTTGATTCTAAAAGGAATATCCCAGGACTGACCCAGCCCTCCCCGAAGCCCCAGTGCCTGGAGCAGAGGGGAGGGGGCTGAGCACCCCTCCCCAGCCTTCCAGACTCATCCGGCCCCTCGAGAGCCTCCCCCTCCCCCATGTAATAAATAGTTACGCTCCGAAGCCTTGGTGCCCAGCAGGGGAGGAGGAAAGGAGAGGCAAGTGGCCCACAGATTGTGCGGGGCAGTTGCACTGCATGGCAGGCAGGGGGCACCAGAGCACGGGGGGGGTGTCTTTCTGTTCTTAGCAGCAAAACCACAGCACCCCTCCAAAGGCAGATGGGCACCAGCATGGGGTCCCACTCGCCCCTGTTGGGCAGATGGCTACCCCAACACATTGGGTGGGGCAGAGAAGCAGCAGTAACCTCACCCCTCACCCCCCACAGCAGCACGTAGGGAGAGCGGAGAGAGAGAGATGAGGATTTGGTGAGGCAGCGGCTGCTGAGGCCCCAGGCTGGCAATGGGTGGTAAGAAGGCGAGCAGGCTTGGAAGGAGGGGGGGAGAAAAAGAAAGGAAGGGGGCCCTGCCAATTCCTGACTCCTGTGCCCCCTTGGTGGCTGAAGGCAGCAGTGTTGGCAGAGTCCCTTAGGAGAGCTGGAAGGGAGATGAAGGGGCAGGGGGAGGGCATGTTTGTGCCCGGAGCCGGTCAGTTCTATTTGAGGCACCGCTCAAAGTAAGTGGAGCCAATGTAGCCGCCCCGCATAGAGCGCTGGACGTTCTGCTCAAACAGGCGTCTGTTGTTCTGGAGGACTTCGGCAGCCTCTTTGTTCAGGGGGTCTTCAGGGTTTGGCTCCTAGGGAGGAAGAGAGACAGACTGTTAAATGCTGACACCTTCGTTCTTGTCCTTTTGCCAACTGGGCTCCACTCAGCTCAGCACACAGACACCCCAATCCAGTACAAGCTGTCCTGCGTACTAAAACGCACATATTCCATTACTAATTGTATTGTACATGGGCAGAATTTGCTATTTGTCAAAAATTCAACAAGAGTTCACCCATGCAAGAAAGGAAGTGACTAGATCTTATGGCTGCTGAAAGATACTTCAACGTGCCCTGGAGGCACCTAACAAAGTCGGAGAGGAACCAAAAAGGGTCTTTCTGTGGCTGGCAGTGTTCCCTCTAAGCTGAGTTAGTGTGAGCTAGCTCACAGATTTTTAGCTTCTGGCCCACACATTTTTGTCTTCGCTCAGGAAGGAGGGCTCCAGAGCAAACTGATTTATGCAGTAGCCAAATGGCTCACTCACAACTTTAATGCCAGTAGCTCACAAAGTAGAATTTTTGCTCACAAGACTCGACAGCTTAAAGGGAGCATTGGTGGTTGGTACTCTGCCCCTTTGCCCTGAGGATAAGCAAATATAAGCAAGTGTGCCACTCACTTGCTGAATCGTAATACTTCTCTGCCCCAGCACCTCTCCAATGCTACTCAACGCTAAGGAGGACTTTGAAAACTCATGCTTTGACGTACTTCTGTCCCTAAGTACAAGATTTCTCCATTAGTCCAAAATGAACAGAGCAAGACACAAAGCTTAGTAAAATCTCCAGCAAGAGATACAAATTCCATATTCTAAGGGCCAACTGGCTCCCACAGAAGTCTGCCGAGCACTTAGGACTCTCTTCAGAGGCTCCCTCCCCCAGGATCATGGGATTTTAGGCTCTGGATGAACACATTTTTATTTGTCGAGGACTTTGTTGACTGGATGGTTCTGATGCTCCAGTTGCTTTCTAGAATCTATTCTGTTTTCGCTGTTAAATATGCACAGTGGGTCAGATCCCATGGAACACATCAGCACATGCAAGGAAGGAGAGATTTTTGCAGACTGACCCCCTCCCACTGCCTTTCGGCGACCTCTTCTGCTCCTGGAGGGCCCCACCCGTCTCCTAGGGAAAGTGTCCCAGGAACAGTATCAGGCTGCTGCAGGAGGGGATAGGCAGGGAATACACACCTCCATACACAGAAGTTGTCCCGTGCACAGATGTTTTTGACGTGATCCAACCGTACCTCTGTTGGGCTATTTAGCAACGGCATTAGTATACGCTGCTGCTTATGCTCTCTTTCATCCTGTTCGGGTTTTTTTGGAACTCTCTCGCTGATGCTACTCTGCCAGTTTTTGCTCCATTTCTCCTCTGCTCTGTATGTTACCTTTGCAGCTTTGTCAAAGTTAGAAGTACAGGAAGCAAACGCTTTCGTTCAGCCAGTCACCACTGTGCCCAGTCTCCCACGTCAAGCAGCAGAAGAGTCATGGGCCAGCCCCCACAGAGCATCAGAAAGAGAGAAGGTCTTTCCGACCTACAGAGGAAATAGCTATGTAGGTTTCAGATACCGCCTCGCAGCTTGCTCTGGGAAAAGGCAGACTGAGGTCGACATTCCCTTCGCAAGACATGTAATATGATTTTTGTCAACGCAGCCAAAGATTCTGTTTTCCTAAAACGAGAGCTCTCCACTGAGGAGACGGCCCTCCGAACAATGCCCTCGAGAGACAATTAGAAAAGAAAAATCACGGGATAGGCAGCAAAAGTGAAAGCCCGCTTCTGCATTCAGCAGAACCCTTCCTGGGCCACCGGCAGCCTGTGGTCCTTGCCAGTGGTACCAACCGGCCTTGCACCTGGCCTGAACCAATCACGTGGCCTTCACCCCATACATCCACAGGGCTTCCGACTGAGGGCAAAGGGGTGTTTTGATGGTAACTTTTTGTCTTATTTTGAAAAATCACTCCACTGCCTCGCTGTTTCAAGCTCCAAAACACAGAGCAGATCAAATATGAGAAGTGTGGCAATACAGTCAAACAAACACACATTAATGGGAAATACCGGGGAGGGCCAAACTGGGCCACAAAGAGAAGGCCAGAGTATCTGCCATCCAAATTGCCTTGGGCTCTGTAGATACGGACAAAACGTATTGCATAAAAGGCAATTCCCCTTAACAAGTTTTCCTCACAGACTGACACCAAAGCGCCCTATCCATCTGTATATACGTTCCCACCCAAACAGAAACACTTCCCACGCAAAGGGAAGCACCTGCCTCCTGCTTGCCTTTCCAGGACACAGTTATCACTCAGAAAATGTGTGTGTGGGGGGGGGGGGGATGTGTCTCTTCCTATTTTTTATGCCGCTCCCCCCCCCTTAGATACATACTCTGCTCAGCTTGTGTACGGACGGACAGAGAGGCAGATTTCTGGACAAGGCCTTCCTCCCCATCCTCCCCGCCCTTCCTGGGCTTCCATTTCCACACATACTCACCAAGAAGAGATACTGCAGGCCATAAATTATAGAGTTTATTGTTAGTACGGGCTTCCAGTCCTCTCTGCGGGACAGAAGAACAGAAGAGAGATGAGGACAGCGATCCAACTCGAAGGAGAAACAGAACCAAAGGGCACAACTTAGGTTCAGGCTCCAGTAAGCCGTGATGCAACACCAAACGCAGGGAGAAGCGGTCATCTGAGAAAGGGTCAGGATAGTGTGTTTAGCCCAGTGAAAATGGTGTGAAAACACTTATCCAAACTGTATTTGGGGCGTATCACTGCCCCAAGCCAAACATGTCTTGGAGCAGAAATACATCCCATTTTAAAAAATCTGGCTTTGGTGGCCGAAGGAAGTATGTTTAACTCCCAGAGCCTGTTTTAAATACCTAAAGCCTTGATACACACTTTCACGTAAGATGAAATGAATAGACTGGATCCAGCCAGGTTTTGCACCCAATCCTGTCCACCAGCTCTTCTCCTTACTGCATCCCACATTGCTTTTGCCCATGCAAGTCCCCGGACTTCCACTGTAGCCTTTCTGAGTTGCCAAAGGCAACCTCCTCCTTTTCACCAGCAGAAAAGCTGTTGGAATCCAACACCCTTTGTTTAGATTTCTTTCTCACTCTTCCACTCAAATCAGTTCTACAGAATATCAGATCCTCATCTTTCTGTGGAAACAATGGGGCCGTATCACTTCTGAGCACTTAACACTACTTACTTGGATAAGAATCTGCTAGAAGTAACACAGGGTTGTTGTTTGTTTTTACCCCAATACACAAACACACAAAACCCAGTCTAAAAAGCTTCCCTAGCCACACTGTTTGATGGGAGCAGGCCTATCCCAAATGTGAGAATCAGTTGATTTTTCTGGGGCTGTTTATACCCCAGTGTTTTCTGCTTACAGGGGGGAAAAATGTAAAGCGACTGTACTCTGGAGACGTTGTTTACTAATGTGCAGGTGACAATGTTCTAAAAGAGCAATATTGTAGAGCCACTTCTCTGGGCATTTTGCCCCCCCCCAAAAAAAACCCTATGCAATTGTCAGGGAATTACACCGATGAATGTTGATAAATAGCTTCGAATGCCTGAAGGAGATCAATTAAAGGCACGTTTTTGTAACTGCATTACCAACCATTTCTGACACTGCAGTTATAGAGAAGCTCACCAGGTTACGCTCCCAAGGAGTGTCAGCACAGCGTTCCAGTCCAAAAACAAAACATAAACACAAAGTTCAGCACTCAACTGAGAGACAGCAAGAAGGGGCTGCAAAGATATGGTCATGTGGTCATGTGGACGATAAATGCTCCCCTTAGAGTGAGGGAGTCAGTACATGTAACTATCCCCACAACTAAAACATACAGCTGGAGGTGATGATGGGCAGCAGACCCTGCTTGGTACCTGAGTATATTTAGGCAGACGTTGCCTTCTAGGTCTATGTTGGGGTGATACACCATGGTCTCACACTTCACCTTGGGTGGGTCGTGAGGGTAGCCTTGCCCCACCTGCAGTCGAGATTCAAGACAAAAAGACACAGTGGGGTTAACCTTCCCTTGGTCCTCACCAAAACTTCATTACCCCCAAGCCCCATATCACAATCTTGGTAAGGTGACCAGCTGTAAAAGATACGGACCTTCTACGCTCAGGTCAGCTTCTCCTATATCTTGCTCTGATTCCTTCACACGGTGATACTATTTAACACAGTGTATGTTTTTCCTTCCTCAGTATTTCAGTGGCTCAGTGGGAGAGCAACTGCTTGGCATGCAGAAAGTCCCAGGTTCAATCCCTGGCATCTCCAATTGAAAGGAGTCAGGGGACAGGTGATGTGAAAGACCTCTGCCTGAGAACCTGGAGAACCACTGCCAGTCTGAGTAGACCATAATGACTTTGATGGACTGATATTCTTATTCAGTACAAGGCAGCTTGTGTGTTCAATACTTAGGGCTACTTCATGCACTGAACTTGCACTCGTGGCTACCTGGCATCTCTACTGTGTGCCATGCCCAGAGCTCACAGATCTCAGCCAGTAGCACTCAGAAGTCTGCCAAGTTATGGAAACTGCCACTGCTGATCATCATTAGGTGCCAGATTATGGTGGGTGAAGGCAGCAGGTGTGCTCCAATTATTTTTTATTCATCCACTTAATTGATACCATTCCTCGACCCAATGGAGAGCTGTTCTCCTCTCCTCCACTGTTATCCTCATAACCACCCAGTGAGGCGAGGTGAGGCTGAGTGCGTGTGACCGGCCCAAAGTCACCCAGCAGCCTTTCATGGCAGAGTGAAGACTCAGACCTGGTTCTCCCGGACCCTAGGCCAACCCTGCAACTACTACACCACACTAGCTCCCCAAATGAAAGCAAAAACGAACAAAAAAAAACCCTTAAGAAACACTGCAACATGTTCTCTGAGGACAGGAATTGGTCCCATTGCAGAAGATGACTATACCATCACCGTCATGGTATCCTAAAGGATGCACTGACGAGGCCCTGATGAAGAACCTGGATTATATAAAGAAGATCTGATAAGCCGTCGCCATTGGGAGTACCACCTAGGACTGTGTTGATTCCATCTTGGATTATGATATGTAATTGACTGAGCACCGTTGTTGTATTTAAGTGCTGGATGTTTTTATTATGTTTTAGATGTTTTATTTAAGGCACGGCTAATTACCTTGCCCTTGTGAGCCGCCCTGAGCCCATCGGGGAGGGCGGGATACAAATATGAAACATAAATAAATAAATATTTATCTGAAAAGGAGGCATTTTCCAAAAGAGTCCCTTCAAAATTATACGCAAATATCAAACGCAAATGACAAAGGCTTATATGGAACCATTCCTGATGGGTGCTCGCCAGTGTTCCCTCTAAGCAGAGTTAGTGTGAGCTAGCTCACAGTTTTTTAGCCTCTGGCTCACACATTTTTGCCTTAGCTCAGGAAGGAGGGCTCCAGAGCAAACTGATTTCTGCAGTAGCCTAATCGCTTCCTCACAACTTTAATGCCAGTAGCTCACAAAGTAGAATTTTTGCTCACAAGACTCCACAGCTTAGAGGGAACATTGGTGCTCGCTATCATTAACTCCCTTGCCAATTAGCAGGCATCGCTTGGAAGCCTTCTAGGATCTTCTCATTTCTGCTTCCTGTGAACAAAAAAATAAAGAGCCGCACCAGCCATAGGCGATTAAAAAAACAGGGTCAAGGCAATGGCGCAAAATTAGGTAAAATATATATTTTATTACTTAATTAAATCTCCAAAAATCCCCTACGCATTTCACCAATAGGCTTCATCAGGGAAATCTGTAATATCTAACAACACTGAGTTTACATAAATATAGTTAAAATTATATCAGTAAGATACTGTATTAAAGGTTAAAATCCAGGTCCTAAAATATCAGTCACATACAAAACCACTAGAGCTTATTCTGTCCTTGAGATTGCATGAGGAAGAGAACCTCCTTGTAAAGAACAGAGATAAGATAAGGCTGTCCAGCACCCAACAGGTTTTGACTCAAAATTAAAGAAATCTTCTTTCTGTGCCTAAATGAAATGTAAGACGAACAGGTCAGTAACATTCATTTATTTTAGGACCTGGATTTTAATCTTTAATATAATATCTTATTTATATAATTTTAACCATACTTATGTAGACTCAGTGTTGTTATTATATATTACAGATTCCCCTGATGAAGCCTATTAGCAAAATGCGTACGAGTTTTTGGAGATGTAATTGGTAATAAAATGTATTTTTACCTGATTTTGCACCATCTGCCCTTGCCCGTGTTTTTTATATCCTGCTTTCTATGGACCTGCCAACCTAGCAGTTCGAAAGCAAGAAATTGCAAGTAGATAAATAGGTACCACTTCGGTGGGAAGGTAACAGCGTTCCGTGCGCCTTTGTGTTTAGTCATGCCGGCCACATGACCACGGAAACGTCTTCGGACAGCGCTGGCTCTTCGGCTTTGAAACGGAGATGAGCACCGCAACCCTAGAGTCGGATTCGACTGGCTTTCGAGCAAGGGAACCTTTACCTTTTTTTCTATGGACATCTATTCTTAAAAACAAGTTTAAAGCAGGCTGCAATTTAAAGTTTTATCACTCGTTCTCCAATTTGGAAAGGTTAATAACCAGACTTGGCGTAAGACAGCTTCAATTTCACTCAGCAACCTTCTCAAGCGAACCCAGAATTCAAGATGGACAGGATCATGTTTTGGGGGGGTTTGCTACAAAAGTAGAACATTTTGGTCTTTGAGCCACTAAGTCACTAGACCACCAGACTGGAACGGGGGCGATCCAAGTTTGAATCTCTGCTCAGCCACAAAACTGGTTGGCCTTGGACCAGTCACTCTTTTGCAGCCCAGCCTACCCTCAAAGGGTTGGTGTGAGGACAAAAGGGAGAAGAGAGCACCATGCATGCCCCCTTGAGTTGCTTGGAGAAAGAGCAGCAAAAGTGAGATAAGACAAATTTCCCAGGACACACTGTTGCTGACTTAAAAGGCACCATTCTTCAACAAAAGAACTTTGAAGGGAAATTATTGTATTGGAATTTATCAGGAAACTTGTCTTTATTTATCAGGAAATTTGTCTTTATTCCAGCCTTGAGAAACAGACAAGGCATTTCCTCTCTCAGTACAGATGCTAGTCTTCATAACAAAACCCTGGAGTCTTGTCACCAATGACTGCTCTTGGGAATGGTCACTGTGCTTAGCTTCGGTACATCTGAGTTTAGGTACCAGTGTGATATACTGCACCGCTTATACTTCATAATTTTGTGGATCTCATGGTTTATACTTTTTGCCATGTACAATTATGCATGCTAACCAAGTTCTTTTTTGTCTTTTTACTTCATTTATACTCCCATCTTTATCCCCAGTGGGTACCCAGAGAGGTTTATATCATTTTCCACTCCTCCATTTTATCCTCACAACCCCACGGCACTGGTTAGGCAGATAGCTGACCCAAGGTAACCCAGCAAGCCTCCACGGCAGAGCAGGGACTCGACACTGGGTCTCCCAGATCCCAGTCTGACACCACTGCAGCGCACTGGCTCATGAACACATGTATCCACCTTGTACTAATATCAGACCCCTGAACAGTCTTGTGTACTCCGACTGGCAGCAGCCCTCCAGGGTCTCAGTCAGAGGTCTTTCACATCTACCATCCCCTTTTAACTGGACTTGCTCGGGATTGAACTTGGGACCCTGAACATCCAAAGCAGATGCTTTACAGCTGAGCGTGGCCCCTCTCACGGAATTCATCTTTAAGGGGCAACAAAACTCCAGGTTTTGTTAAGCAATTAACCTGACTGCCTCTCGAGATTTTTTTCTTCTAAGTGAGTCAACCCTATAACTCTCCCTTCAACTCACACATGGAAGTCACTCTGCCACATAAAGTGGCTTACTGAAACAGCCGAGACAATCTAGCTGTTCTCTTTAGCCAGCACAATATTGGGTAAGCAAAATGTACCACACGGCAGTGACCTATAACAAGTTGTCCTCAATGTGTACTGAAACAAGATCTTACAGCCAACGGGACGGATAACGCAGGGGGGAGGCGGGGCTTTTCGCCGCGCCGAAATAAGAGCCGCCATAACGCGATCCCACACGTCGGCGGCACACTACGGTTCCTTCCCTCCACGCCTGCGCATCAACGAGGAGCCGGAGGGAAAAGCCACAGCAGGCGCGATCACACCGAGGGACTCCGGAGGCAGCCCATGGCAAACTGGTTGCTAGTACCTCCGAGCAGGTAGTTTTTAATCCCGCATTTTCGGCGGTATGCCACGGGTGCGCTCCACTTCCCAGATGTTGCGGTGTGATCAGGCCCGGATAATCCGCCATGCACTCGTAGCTCTCCCGCGGCAAATCCTCCGTGTGAACGGGGCCAAAGTAAACTATCCTAGGGACAACACCAAAGAATAGGGAGACCGCTTACCTTAAAACTGAAAACAAACTTCCCGCCTTTATAGAAGCCCTGTAAAGCAAGAATTAAAAGGGGGGGAAATCATAAGCAACTTTGGAACTCCACACAAAACAGAAAGAAAAACTCATAAAGATTAGCTAGGGAGGAGCCCTGACCTGGATTATCCAGGCAAGGCCAATCTCGTCAGATCTCGGAAGCTAAGCAGGGTCGACTGTGGTTAGTACTTGGATGGGAGACTTCTTTGGAATACCACGCTGGGAGGACAGGGGCAGGCTTTATTCAGCCACCTCTCTGAATATTGTCCAGGCCCCCAGTAGGGATCAGTCACCAGAGGTCAACATGACTTCCAGGTGCAGACACACACACATACAAAATGCCCCCCCCCCAAAAAAAAAGCTTAGCTAGAGAGGAGAGCTGAATTTAGAATTCTAAAGTAAGACTCCCCCAGTCCCTGAATCAGAGAAGTCGAATTTGAGCACAGTCCGCAAAAATCACGAACTCTGCGTAGGTTGTCCTGCGTTGCCCAATGCCAGATTTCAACCAATAGGCCAGATCCAGACTAAACTGGCAATGTTCCCCTTCCCAGCACAGACCCCTTATGGTCCCCTATACCTCAGGTGCAGCACTGCATGGGGTTCAATGGGAGCCATGAGAGTTTCATTTTGCCACTGGCAAATGTAGTCTGGATTCAACCCACTGAGTCACCCTACCCTGCTCCCTCTCCCAACTGTTTGCTCTAATTTGTCATAGACTGGGAATTCCAGAGGACTGGGATAGAAATGCAAACAGTTATACCCCCCCACCCCCAAAAAAAACAGAGTTGGAACCACAGGTGAACGGCCAGCCTCTGCTTAGAGAAGAAAGCTGCATTTTCCAGCTGCTGTCAAAACAGTCTAGCAGTCATGGATACTTAGAAACCAGAAGCCTTC